ATAATTATTATTATTTGTTTACTTCTTCAAAAAAAAACAACGTCAATTCAAATAAACGTCTTACGGTAGAGTTATCAAAAAAGCTGAATACATAACGAACATGAAAATTAAAAGATAAAAAGCAAAAAGTAACGCGCTAAAAAATTATACTTACTCATCATCATCACCTTCGTCATCATCGTAACTATCATCTTCGTCGTCGTCATCATTGTCTATGTATTCGCAGCCAGTAATCATTAAATTTATAAATCAAGATGGATAAAAAAAACCATGAGATTCACTTTCTTTTTATCCTTCTCTCTCCCTCTCACTCTTTTTATCTCTAGCTTTCTCCTTTTTTCTTTCTCTCTCTCTCTCTCTCTCTCTATATATATATATACATATTTCTTTATCTATCTTTTTCTCACTCTATAATTTTTGTCTTCGTATTCTCTCCCTCTCTCACGAGTGTCCATCCTTATTCACTCTCTCTCTCTCTTTCTCTCTCTCTTGTGTTCATTTTTATTTATTCTCTCTCTCTTGTGTTCATTTTTATTTATTCTCTCTTTCTCTCTCTCTTGTGTTCATTTTTATTTATTCTCTCTCTCTTTCTCTCTCTCTATTGTGTTCATTTTTATTTATTCTCTCTCTCTCTCTCTTGCGTTCATTTTTATTTATTCTCTCTCTCTTTCTCTCTCTCTCTCTTGTGTTCATTTTTATATATTCTCTCTCTCTCTCTTTCTCTCTCTCTCTCTTGTGTTCACTTTTATATATTCTCACTCTCTCTCTTTCTCTCTCTCTCTCTTGTGTTCATTTTTATTTATTCTCTCTCTCTCTCTCTCTCTCTCTCTCTCTCTCTCTCTCTCTTGTGTTCATTTTTATTTATTCTCTCTCTCTCTCTCTCTCTCTCTTGTGTTCATTTTTATTTATTCTCTCTTGTGTTCATTTTTATTTATTCTCTCTCTCTCTCTTGTGTTCATTTTTATTTATTCTCTCTCTCTCTCTCTCTCTCTTGTGTTCATTTTTATTTATTCTCTCTCTCTCTCTCTCTCTCGTGTTCATTGTTATTTATTCTCTCTCTCTCTTTCTCTCTCTCTCTCTT